TGATATGAAAATATTATGAAAAGCTACAATACATGGGCAAGGCAAATTATGGCAACTAATCCTTCTGTCACTGCTGAGGAAGGTTGGAGTCTCATGGTCACGTTTTTAGCTTGAATCCCAGAAACTTTATCTTATGTCCCATTCTGGTCCTCAAAATGCAAGAAAGAAGTGGCCAGACTGGAGGAGGTCAAAAGGAGGACCATGGAGATCATCAAGGGGATGGACAATGGGGGCAATGAGGAAAAAAATGAAGGAATTTTTCCCTGGAGAAAAGAAGCCTCAGTGGTGACCTCACCAAAGTATTCCAGTACTAAAAGAGTGGCCAGAGAGAGGATAAAGGTTCTCATTTTCACAAGGATCCACATGGACAATACCAGGGTGACAAGCTGCATCAGAAGAGGAATCATCTTGATATAAGAAAGAAATATTTTTTAGACTGAGAACAGCCATTCATGGGATCAACCTCCCCAGAGGTGTGGTGTGGTCCCTACCTGAGCAGCTTTTCAAGAGGTGACTGGACAGGGTGTTGGATAAATTCATCTTGGTTCCCTTTCTCTTGAAAGGTTGGACCAAATTTGTCACTCGAGGTCACCTCCAGCCTTGGTTGTTGATTCTATGAGCTTCATTCCCTTCTGGAAGGTATCTCACACTTGCCATTGATGATGGAAAGAGTCCAGGGAGAGTAATTTTTGCAAAAGTAAACTCAAATTATCAGTTCATGCCCACTTGGGGTTGTTTTTCAGCCTTATCATCACAGGGCACTCTCCTTAAGGTGCAACGAGAGACAGATGCTGAAAGGGAGGAGCCAAACACCCCATAAAGTGTCTGGATTTAACTTCCAAACTGCATTTTCCTCTGGACTCACCTACCTTCATCCCTTCTCCCACCACTCCATGTTAACACCTGGTTTTCAAATCCAAATACTTAAATGATGCAGAGGAACTTGGGTGTTTTTCCTCTATGATCCAAAACTTCCCAGATCTATGCATTTTAGGTTCTTTCCCTGGGCTCTGAGTTCTAGAAATGCTAAAATTGAAAGTAAAAGGAGGTGACATCACCATGCAGCAATGAAACAGCCTGATCCTTTACAATCTAGGTTGTAGTTTTCATTTTTGAGATCTGAACTGTCCTGCAGTACCAGCACTCCACACTGACAAGTCAATAATCCAAACAGTGGTTACAGTAAATAGTCACAAAACCTGCAGCACAGAAAGTTTTTGTACATTTATAAAAGCAAAATAAGAAAATTAGACAGGAAATACATTATGGACATGGTAGAAAAAATGGCTCAAGGAGCACTGCACACTTGTTTGGTTTTTTTTTTTAATTGTGTACTGGTTTTAATAACACAGCCTTTCTAGCTCCAAAATATATTTCACAGTGAAAAATCAAACAAAGCACTGTTACACTCAGTTGATATTTACACACACACAGAAACAAACTGTTGGATTCTTCCCTCCTGAAACAAATGGAAAAAGAGCCACTGTGGGGTGGCCACACCTGGCCAGCACCTGCAGCTTACATTCAACAGAGAGATTTGTGGAGAGCTCCTTTGTGCCATGGCATCAGAGTCTGGATCCCATTGCTGTGTTCACCTCAAGTGTGACATTTCCAGGGACACTGGGAAAGTTCCAGTGACTCAGGGAATGCCAAATCTGCCAGTGCATCAACACTTTAATTCAGAGAAATAAAATCATAATAGAAGGTTTTGTTTTTTGTCTTTTTTTTTTTTCCCTGTATAATATATTTTATATTTTATATGTTGAAGATCTCATTTCTTCTGTAAATTCAGTGCTGGTGAACAGATTCAATTTTTCTACTGAACAAGAAACACAATGCCTGCAACAGTAGAAATTTCCCTTCCACTGCTCTCCAAACTCCTGAGCATTGGCTCAAGGAATTAAGGAGCAAATCCAGCTTTTCACAACTTTTCTATCCTTGGGCTCTCTAGGTGGGATCACCAAAAAAACCAATGTGCTGAGGCCAAATCCCAATTCCAGGTGAAGTGGGTTCTACCAATAACAGCAGTTTTCTGTACTGATTTTAATCTAGCTGAGGACCTGGTCTCCAGTGTGCAGGGTCACAGGGTGGTTTTGGGGGATGTGGACATTTGCCCACAAGGCACTGGACTGAGATCCACCAACTCAAACTGCAGAGCACTGTAGAGTGCCCAGGAAAACATCAAAACCCAGAAGTAAGCTCTGAAAAATTTCAACAGCAAAAGAATAAATTAAAAATAAAAAAGATCCAAACACTTCTGTGCTCTAGACTGAAACAAGAAAAAGTCTCCAGCTAGAGGCAGTTATTTGACATATTTTTCTCCACAATTCTAATTTATTAATGATTGAAAACTGGCTAATAGCCATTCATGCAAAAAATAGCTTTTGACTTTTTAAAAATAATACATTTACAGTGTTGGCAATATAATCCTTGTGAAAGCCCATCCTACAGAAAATTGCCAAGTGTGCATTTATCTGATAAATCTGCCTTTCCCCAGCTCTGTCTGGACAGCAAAGTACCTTGTTCCTGGGGAAACTTTCTAAAATTAAGAAACATCTGAAGAGAGACCAAGGGCAAATCTATCAGTTTAAAAACACTTTGACTTTTGCAGAGAGTTGAGAAGAGGGAAACAAATTCTGCTCTCAGAGCAGCAAATCGGTGCTGTAGACTTGTGAAAAAAAAAAAAAAAAAGATGTTTGGATCATATAAATCCCATTTATGAACCTGGAGTAAAATGGAAGTGCTTTCAACTGTTTTGCTGGTCCTCTGTGCCACGGCAGATTTCACATGATAGGGCTGCCCCCATCTCTTAAGAGCATGATCCTGTGCCAATATGACCTCAGACAACATTTCTGTCTGTTTTAAATTAAATTTACATTCATTTAGATGGCTCCAGCCAAGAGCAGATTATTCCCATAAAGGATTATATAAGTGTTAAGTATTATTATAATTAATATTTCTTTCACAACTTTCTCAGACCTTTCTTTTTTCTCCTTTAAAAAATAAGTAAACTAGGATTATCTTTAAAAATCTTTGCTTAAAATTACATCAAAACTCTTTTTTCTTTTTTACTTGAACTAACAAAAACCAGTGAAATTAAAAGCTCACACTCAGCTGACACTAAAATTCCAAGTATTTCACTTTTTTTTTTTCTGTTTTTAGTTTATGATCATGTCAACTAACACAGAAGAACAAGCCTGAATTTTGAATTTCCTGGTTACTATTAGTTTCAGTTCAAAACTTCACATTTAAAATGCCATTTTCATCTTTGTTTGTAATAGATGCATACACATACACGCACATATATATATATTTGATATATATATATATATTTCTCAGTTCATAAATTCATAAATCCAAGATGAAGGGAGCGCTAGGACGGCCCTCGAAGCCTTTTCTGCGCTGTAGAAAGACTCTTAAGAATTGACATCATCGACATTGGGTTGAAGTAGATTTGTAGCAGTCGTGGCTTTAACTACAAGGCAAAGGTTGAAAGAACATTCGAGTTCCTCTCCAAGAAAAGCAGTAAGACCATTGGTGGTGAAACAAACAGAATATTCCAAGAGAGAAAGAACTGCCAGGTGTGGGAAGTCATCCAAAGTCTTTATCCTTTCCTTCCGTGCCATCTCACTGTTCAGTTTAGTTGGGTTTTTTTTCCCCTCACCAAACGTGGGTGATTTTTTACCTTCCAGGGTGATCCTGCCAGGTCCTCTTTGCTCTGGCAGGGAAGAGTCAGCACACAGAAGCCAACCAGGCTGCAAAGGCACGGCTCTCTGTGTGACAGCACTGCCCCAAAGCCACCAACGCCACGTGCGGCCACTGGGGCAGAGGGTTCAAGGTCATCTGGCCACCCTGGACCTGACTCTTGCTCTTAAGGTGGGAGGGAAGGGACAGTTATTCAAAGAGTTCAAAAGATCAATCTATCAATCAATGCCAAAAATAGAGCTATATCTCAACTGCATGGCCCTTTTAGAAAATTCACAGCTTAGCTAGAACAGAAAGCATTCCTGGGAGTGTCCCTGGGGACGGGAAAGCACAGCAGATCCCACTGCTCTCGCCTGAAGTTCCTGCACTGATGTGCAGTTTCGTGTTGGCACAGCTGTTCCTTTAAATCCAGTGGGAATGTCTGACTGAATCCAGCCCTGAATTAATTTTTCTGGAGATCCTCCTGAATCAGCTGGATTGATCAACCCAAGCACGTTAGCTCCATCCAAAGAGAAACACTGCGGAAATGCACGTGCCAAAAGACAGGGACAGGCTAAGACATGTAGGACTGGGGGGGAAAAAAATAAAAATAAAAATAGGCAGATCCAACCCAAAATGGAAACCAAGTGGAAAAATGACAACGGTCAGGTCCATTCACAGACTAGGATCAGTTTGGCAACCAAGGATCACAACTGCACAGCAATCACTTGTTACTTTGGGCAGACATGGATTACTTGCAGATGCTCTGAAATGGGAATAGTTGAGTGGGTGGGTTTGGCCTCCTGTTTGTCTTTTAAACATTCTTCATTAATGGCCTTGAGTACAGCTGGGTATTTACAGTGACTGTTAAAAAGAGATATTTACACATTTCCTTTGCTTTTTCAGCTGAGGAGAGGAGAGGAGAGGAGAGGAGAGGAGAGGA